ATGAAGGCTAATCATGTTTTGGGTGTACTATTCCTTTAAATCAGATATTAAAAGCATCTGATTGGTTTCTTGTATTTGTGGAGTAGTTAAAGGAAAATGTTTTAGTTACATCATAGTTATGTCCCCCAACGCAGGAGTCTGCAACATGCCGAAAGTAGCTCTTTGGACCCTCTTGATAGTGACTGAAAACTATAAAGAGCCGACTAATGGTTTTTATGTAGTATATTAACAAATATAAATGTTTAGCTTTAGCATTCCTTTAAACAAACATTTGAATTCTGACGACAGAATGACATTAAACAATCAAGAATGTGTTTTAGATCCGCATCTCTTGTCATTAGTTTGTAAACTATGCACTTTTTATTATACATAAAAAAATATCCTACAGAATAAAATCCCAATCAATGCTTCCTTGAACCGTCTCTGTAAAGCTCCTTGAGATATATATATATATATATATATATATATATATATATATATATATATATAATGAATTGAATTATGAAGTTTTCATGTTTTGTCCTTATTTGATAACTAAAAATGCAGCTAAACTGTTTGCTGTTTAAAATGGCTATTGCAGATATTTAAAAAGTAATAGGTTGTATTTTATTTAAAAGCCAAGTATTTGCAGCTCTAAACCACTTTTTTAAGCTGGGCTGGGTCTAAAAAAGCTCTTTGGATTAGAAAGGTTGAGGACACCTGACCCACAGAAACAAGAAAACACAGATTTTTAAAGTAAAGGTCCTGGGCCGCCTGGTAGACCAGGTAAAGACACATAAATATGGAGCCATAGCAACACAAGCTTAATCATGTTTTATTATAAACACTGAAATTACATCAAATCTGAAGTTTTCTTGGCCTTTTTTTACATAAAATCAGATTTTTTTTTTTTCCCACTGGGATGATTTGTTCATTCGGCTGTTAGGGTCGGATGGCAGACCTCAGCTTTGGGAAGAGTCGCAGGGCATTCTGGGTCGTCACCTCCATTACCTTCTCCAAGGACACTCCTTTGATCTTACTGATATACTCCGCAGAAACACTGATGTTTCTGGGCTCGTTTCTTACCTGTTTAAAATGAAACAGAAAGGTTAAGAAATATGCTATGATACACAAAGCAACACCTGTAAGGAAAAACCGTGAGCCCGTTACATTATAGACATGTCTGAAACCAGTTCCTGCTCAATGTTTATTTCTTTCACAGCAATTAGATGAGATTTTACCTGTTTTTCTGGGCCAAGAGCTGGAGAATCAGTTTCCAAACAGATGTGTTCCAGTGGCAGCTGTTTAACAAGTTTCTGCTTCTTGGTTGAAACCAACCAGAGGCAACAGTGCAAACAGAAATGAGTTAAAGATGGCGTAAAATATGAGCGCATCACGTGTCCATCTATACCTGCTCACTCCGTATTATGGATGGAGGGATAGAGAAGAAGTATCCAGCTTTCACTCCCTCCATTGCAACAGAAGGTTTTCCATCAAAAGCATGAAGAAGGGCTTTTTCGACACCTGGTGTCCAAGTAGAGGAACTGCAGCTTAATCATCAATACATAGGATTTCTGCAAATACATTCCAAAGTTCCTGTATCTACTCACCTTGCTCCTTCAGGAGGTGGATGGTGGGTCGTCCTGCAGACCTTGAATGGACATTTCTAACAATAAAAACACACAGTTTAAAAAAATGTAATATCTAAGCTGAAGAATGAGTTGAAATTGCTCCATTACTACTAGAAACATGAATGCAACCAACCTAAGTACAGCATTTTAAAAAAAAGAAACTGCAGAAACCTTTTTTTTTAACAAATTTGAAATTCTAGGGAATTTAATCCTGAAGCAGAAGTTTAATTTCCAACAGACTTAGACGGAGACAAACTTTATATACCCTGTGTATACGAAACTAAATTTCGTTTATACAGCTTACAAACAGTGAATGAGCAGCTTAGACGTGAAAAAGAACATTTCCATTCATAAAGTGAAGCAGTGATCAAAAGTACACAGTGTGGGAGAGACATGGTGCAAATTATGTATTATGCTGCGTTCACACCGGACGCAGCAGGCGAGGCAGAAGCAGCGAGTTTACATGCAAGGTCAATGGTCGATGGACATCAAGGCGCAGCAAAAGGTCCCGCAGCGCGTTTTGAGCAGCAGAGGCAGCGCGTCGGGTGCATTTAAGCATCTAATGCGCCGCAAACGCGCTGCTGCTCGAGATGGAAAAATTGAACTTTTGCTGCTCGACGCGCCGCATCAACCAATCAGAGAAACTCGCAGCGAGACAGACACAGCGCTGATGACACAGAGCGCTGTGATCACTCCTCTGAAACAGTTTATTGACGCATAAATTAACTTAAAATGCAGAAATCTGCCGGCAGAATATGTTTTATTATTCTGGTGCCTGCAGATCAGATTATTTAGATGAAAAACACCTACCAGCCGCCGCGGTGAACCGCCAGGAGGCGACCCAGCCAGAGGCTGCTGATGAAGGGATTCCTACTGTCGGCGCACCGCTGGTATGTGGGGGTCTGAGCGGCTCCGACAGAAAAAATATTGGAAATCAGGATGATAATCTGGATGAACTGACTGCACTGATGAAGTTTTCAGGTGGATTTTCTCACTTAAAAACATAATAAAACTACTTTATTCCCACTGATAATAAAGCAATACAGCAAATATAGCTGCAAGGCAGAGAAAGGACAGTGAAGCTCCGCCCAACGCGCGTCAGACACACTTTTGCACCGCGCAGCCAGAGCAGCAAAGCTGCTTCAGCCGCACGTCAGAACTAACTGGTACAAGCAGCAAAAATGAAGCAGCAAACGCGATTTTGCTGCTCTTGCTGCGTCCGGTGTGAACGTAGCATTAGAATGGTCCAGTTAACGTCTAGACCTAAATCTAACAGAATTCTGTAGCCAAACCAGAAAGACTCTTGAAATCATAAAAGATTTTGTTCTGTTTTAAGCTGTCATCTTGGAATGCAATGGATAATTTCAGAGTCCATCCAGTCTGAAACATGTCAGTTTCAAGACGAGCATCTGGTTCAGACTCAATGAGGCTGAAGACAGATACATGCTCGGCTTTAGATCATCATCCTCCATCTTCATCAGTTCTCCATGATGGAGCTCAAATTTAAAATGCAGATGCATTAGTGCAATACTTTCCCCTGCTGCTACTCTACCTTCCCAAGATTAGATGACCCGCCACTCATCAATCAGCAGGACATTTAAAAAATCAGGAATATCTTTAAAGCTAAACATCTTCACATAAGAGAAACTCACAGAGGGAGATCTAGCTCCTTGGCAACCTTCGCTTGAAGTATAAGAACCTGTTTTTGATTCTCCTTATCGGACTCACTGCTGACAAACCTGGGAGTAAAATCCAAGCCCACCTGCAACAACAGAAAGAAAAAAGGCAAAATCAATTAGATATTCTGATGCTCCAGCCTCCCAAACACAATGAGTGATAATTCAGAGCCCTGTTATTTCTATGTCTGATTTAATATTTTATTTATTGCTTTGGAAAGATTTTTATTCTGTAGGTCTAATCCAGGAGTCTGTTGCCTTTAGATTATATTAAAAGAGCAAACTTTCCCTTTAGTTTAACCAAATCTAATTCATTCAGAACCCGAAAAAAAAAATATAAAAAGTATATTAAAAAAAACAGCATATAAGTTTCAATAAAGAATTTACAGGAAATCTGATCAAATAGCCGCAATTTACTTCGTTTATAGATTTTTAAATAACAAAAAACACAAAACCTTTAAAAATTAGGATGTATTTGTGAAAAAATATGTAGGATTGGACTAAAATATATCACTTATGTCACTATGTTGTTGAAATACAATGCAATTGTCCTACAAAAAAAATAAAAATAAAATAATTGATGAAATAATTTCTTTAGCATTTTTAGACAAAGAACAGTTGTGGTAAAAGTACTGTGTTTACTGCTTAAATGGAATTACAGATCCCAGCGTATCAAACGTTACAATAAAAGTTAAAGTTAGTATCTTACTCAAATTATTACTTAAGTTGAAGTTCTGGATTAGGTGCTTTCAAAAGAGGTCAAGTGTTCAAAATAGTTGAAAATCTGAGAAGTTTTTTTTCTACATTGTATTTAAATAAGGTGTAGAAAAAAAACTTTAAAAATGTTTTACTCCTTAGTCACGATTAGTGGGGGCAGCATGGCTGCCTTTCTGCACCTACCGTCCCTCCACAGCGCCACAAAAACACAAAATAGACGCAACAGACATGAACAAACACAACAAATAGAAGCAACCATTAAAGAAAACCATTATAGAAATGTAGTGACGTGTTTTCCTTCCCAAAAAAAAACAAATACCACAATAACTCCTGTAACAACCACTGTGCAACTATATTATAGTTTTTTATTTCTTGACTGTGCAATATACACTCACCGGCCACTTTATTAGGTACACCTGTCCAA